CTGTTTCAACTGTACTAAATAGAAGTTATTTATATGCATATTCTCTCCTTTCTTGATATTGACATTTTATTTCAGTATATATGATCTCAATTAGTTATTAATGTACTTAAAAATTAAACTACTCTAGATGTGAATTTCTAATAAGCTGTCTCAAATCCTTTATGACATTAGAATAAATAAATATGCATAATTAAATTATATAAAAAACTAATTTTTTTTGGTCGGTTGTGGGGCTTGAACTCTGGGCTTGGGTACTGCCCCTGCGCGCTTCAGCTCAAGGTGAGCACTCTACCGCTTGAGCTACAGTGCCACTTCCTGTTTTCTAGTGGTTTATTGGGAGATAAGAGTCTCACAGACTTTCCTGCCAGGGCTGGCTTTGAACTGTAATCTTCAGCTCTTAGCCTCTTGCTTGAGTAGCTAGGATTTCAGGCAAGAGCCACTGGTGCCCAGCTTAAAAACTAATTTTTAAAAATAGAAAAGAGAAGGGCTAGCACGCTGCAACTTAAGCCACACCTCTACTTCCAGCATTTTTTTTTTTGCACTTAACTGTTAATAAGTGTCTTAGAACTTTCCTGCCTAAGCTGGCTTTGAGCTTTGATCCTCAGATCTCTGCCTCCTGAGAAGCTAGGGTTACAGGCATGAACCACTGGCACTAGATAAAAGCATCGATTCTGAAAGGAATCATCCTTAAGATAGTCTTAACTTAAATTTGTCTAATCTGAACAATTATTTTCAAATCCTTACAAATACACATGGTAAATATTTGTTTCATTCTGTGTAGCCTCTCAGCAGCAAAGTAATCAAGTAGGAGGAATGAAAATGCCAGGACAGCTTAGCTCTGTGGGTGGCTTGGCCTGGACGTCCCTGTGTGCACTAGGAGGAATTCTGATTGAAGCTGTGTGTTGTTCTTTTCTTTTCTGCATAAGCTGTGACTACGCACAGCAGTGAACAGGTTGAGATTTTAATCGTCAACATACCAGCAAATGATAACTCTGAAGTGTTAAGACTTGTGCCTCTTTTCCATTTCACAGGTATCAATGTAATGATGCAATAAAATGATTCAACATTTGAGCTGCAGATGAACAAATAAGAGCAAGCCCAGACACTAGGCTGGTAATTGTCATGTTAAGACAATGATTCTTTCAGACACTTTTCTTCCTTCACCTACAACAGGGGTTTTCCACAGCTGGATTTTCTTTCTCTTCCTCTCTTTTCCAATCCAGAAAGGCCACATCTCGCATCCCTTGGGAGTTCTGTCCGGCAGAACTGGAAAGGCTGACAAGTTTAGGAAGCACCGTTCTTCCCGGAAGTAATTTCCCCAGAGCTACCAAGTTCGCATCTATTTGGCTATGCCAACACAAATCGTTCCATGAACGCTGGACTAGAAACTGTATAGACACAGAGGGAGAGATGAAAATAGACTTGGTCTCCGCTGTGCAGGAACTCAGGTTTGGAAGAAGAGATGGCCACATCCCACTGTGTTGGCATGGGCCACGCAGGGGACAAGTGGCAAAGAGGTACAGAGACATGCTGGGTAAACACCAACACAGGAGAGATGACTTCTGGGTTGACTGGAAGGGAACATTGGCCGTCCTTGATCAAGAATCAGAAACGTTTAGCCGGGAGAACAGGAAAAAACAGTCAATGAGAGCGATAGACAAAGCCCTGTAGGAGAAGGATGCCACATGCGCGCCCCGTGGGTGGGTGGCCACAGAGAAGTAAATGAGATGACCTGGGAAAAGCAGACAGACTGGCCATGTCTAACTGCTCATCGGCCACAGCATCATGTTTGGCTCTCTCCACGCCAGCTGACCCTTGATGATGGTGCTGATTGGAGGGGCTGGGGGTCACTGAGGGCACCCCTAGGTTCAGGGCAGGTCTTTGTCTCTCCTCCATCCTCTCCTGCCCTCTAGACTGCACAGGGTGAGGAGTTGGAATGCCCCCCCGGCATGTACCATGCTCTCTCTCTCTCTCTCTCTCTCTTTCTCTCTCTCTCCTTCCCTCCCTCCTCCTCTCCTCTCCTTTATTCAACTCTATTAGCTGAGTTCTCTAAATTCTGGCACTTGACTTCAGTCATATCTAGTTCTTGACACAAAGTAGATACCTTGTTGAATGAATGGAGGAGTAGACGAGAGAACGTGGGTGGCTACAATGTTCGCAGCCCTGTACCTGATACAGTGCACACACACACACTACTGGCACTGGTCCGAGTGACCTAAGAGTCTACTGGGGATGGATATAGAAATGGATAGTGTCAACAAAATGTAGTATTTTGGGTACATCGAGCTCTGTTAAATTTAATAAGGCTACAATCTCCACACTGGAACTGGGGCCTTCACATTTGCTGGGTGGGGGCTTTATTACTTGAGCCACACCTCCAGCCCTTCTTGCTCTGATACTATTTGAGACAGGGTTTTGCTTCTGCCTGGGCTGGGCTGGACTGTGATCCTCCTGTAACTGGGCTGACAGTCACATACTACGGTGCCCAGCTTTTCCCGTCCAAGTAAATAAGGTCTCAGGAGAGTTTGGCATGGGCTCGCTTTAAACTGTAATCCTCATCTCTACTTCTAAGCAGCTAGGATGACAGCGGTGAGCCACTGGTGCCTGGCCTGTGATTTCTGTCTTAATTTTCAGCGTTCTGAGATCTCCCAGGAACATTTCAATCTCTTATCTCAGAAAACGTCATGTACAGTATTCTGTTCCCATGTCCTTGAGCCCTTAATCCCCTTTTCTCTGACACTCTAGTAGGTCACACGCTTCTGGTGACTCTCAACTTTTGCTTCTGCTTGATTTTCTGTGTCCACTTCAAATCTTTACTTTTTTTCTTTTCAGTTTTAGGGATCAAATCGTGCTATCTTATGCACGCACCACAGAGCCATAATACCACAATTCCTCACCTCAAATCATTACACACGGATTTTAACCACTTCTCGTTTTAGCCAGCAGGGCTCTGTGGTGATGGGACACATGGAGGAGAAAAGGAGATCAGAAGCCAAGCCTTCTGAAACTATTTGACACCTTAGGTGCTCACAGAGGCTGTAGTCTGGAGAGGCAGCAAGTTACAATAGCAAAATCAAGAGTTTCGATGTATGACAAGTGATCTAACCTATTGGAGATGCAGGGATTTTTTTTTCCACTCTGATGAATGAATGATGCTCATCTTATTTCATTTTCTTTTGAATCAATACTCTAAAAAAAGTACCTTCCATAATATAAGAAGACATACAGTTCATTCTCAATGCCTATTATGGGAAATACTGTTTTCATTCATGAATGCAAGCAAAACCTTGATGAAGACACTTGAATAAAGGACAACTGCAATAAAAAAAATATCTCAACAACCCACATACAAAGAACTCAGACAATCCCAGTCTGGATAAGCCAGGGACAGTGACAAGAAAGAAGCAAAGAATCTAGAAAAATTAGGCAAGGAGGAAGAGGACATCGTAGAAATCTCCCTCAAGCACCAGTGATATTCTGTTTTCCATTTGTTTATCATGAAAAGGTGATGGGGGTAACACGCGCTGTCCTCCAAATGTCCTCTGCTAGCACCCTCCTCTAAGCCATCTGTCATTACTTCTCTGACTACAGATGTTGTCTGTCACCTCAAGACCAGGCTGAGCAACAGGCAGGTGCAACAGAACTCTGAAGTAGCAAGGTGCATTTTGGTTAGACTACATCACAATGGGTGCCAGTTCGGGCGCAAGGCATGTTCAGTATTGGTTAAATGAATATACAAGGGCTCAAAAGATTTTGAATTTATTAAAAGAGTTACAAACTGTTCATGCTCATGGTAGGTTAGCTTTTCTCTAAATGAAAATGGGACCCCCCCCCCAAAATGTGACCCAGGTCAGTCTGTTTCCAGGATTTATTCTATTGCCACCTTTTCTGTGTCTTTCCTGGACTAGCCTCTGAGATCTGAGATGTATCTGGGGAACTTGGTGTTATCAAGACTGGTCCTTTAATCAAAGGTTGGTCTTTAATCAAATTCACCCCATAGTGGCCGAGACATACATAGAGGAGACAATTGAAAGGAAAACGTAACTTTTAAAACATTAGGTTGTGTCTGGGTGATTGATTTTAAAAGACTGAAGAGCCAGGTGCTGGTGGCTCACACCTGTAATCCCAAATATTCAAGAGGATGAGATTGGAGGATAGCAGCTCAGACCAAATCAGCTCAGACCAAAAACAAACAAACACACACACACTCCAGAAGACTCTTCTCTCCCATTAATCAGCTAAAATATGCAGAGGTGGAGCTGGGGCTCAAGTGGTAGACCAAAACTGTGCAGCAAGAGTAAGAGACCCTGAGTTTAAGTCCTGGTGTCAGCACCAGAGAGAGAGAGAAGGACACGCAGACAGACAGACAGAATGAATGAATACACAGTGCAGGAGATACTCATTAGTGATTCTTTGTGCAGACAGGCTGAAGTGTGAATGAATTGGTCAAAGTTCTAACTTGAGAAAGTACTTGCAGGAGAATGGATAATTAAGAACTTTGCTTTATGTGATCATTTGCCCCCAAGTTACCAGACTGAAGTAGAATGATTATGTATGAAATGTGCTACTCAAAGTGTGTCCAAAGATTAGAAGTTCTAGTATCACGTGCAGCCATCATCCCTAGATGTGAACATTCTCAGGCCCTGCTCTCAGCATACAGGAGACACAGGATTTGTTTTAGGAAATGACCCCATCTTCCAGCTACCAGTGCTTCAGAAGTTCTGCTCTAGACCTACTTTCTATGTGTCGCGTCTGTCTCTTCTCTCTACCACATGTACTCACTAAGTCAGCCCAGCATAGGTATGGTTAGACCATAAGATCTCAGGTTGGTCATTTTTACCATCATCAAAAATCTGAGGTTTATTTACAGAGATGCAGTTAAAAATAATGATTTTAGACTTGTAGGTAGCAGACAAGTCTCATTGATCTCATCTAGCAAGTCATTGTCTCTTTAGCAATAATATAAATAATGGGAAGAAAGAAAGGAGGGAAACACTTACATGGGCTTTAAGTTGCTCCTGGGAAGCTTTTACTTCAGCTTGCAGCTCCTCAATGCACTAAAAGGGAGAAACATTTAGGAACCAAATGCAGAGATTTTCCTTTTACATACTCCAAATGTTCCAGATATGAATGTGTGCTAGTTCTCAAATCTTGTGAATCTTAACTAGATGTGTTAGAAATCATGACTGCGAGATCATCTCTCCTATTCCTCGCCCCCTTCCATTCTTCAGAGGAGCCCAAAGGCAATAAAACACACAAATGTGTTAAGAACGAGGAAGCAGTCGGGAAGTGTTAGCTTGATGTGCTGACATTGGCACTATGTCCCTCCTTTTACACACATGTTGGTAGATACCTTCAACACAGAAACATAGCCATGTGCCTCCAAAGCAGATACAATCCCTTTGAGTCAGACAAGAAGAAAATTGATGTTATTCTATAGATAAAAATCTGCAGAGATTCATAATTTTGTATAAAATAATTGATAAAATTAGAAGCTAAACTTTATGATCCACTTGTCTTACTATATAGACATTGTTTGATTAGGTTCAACCTTGAAAACTAAAACAAAAAATACATGTTCAAAATATTTACAGTCAATACCATTTGCAAAATAGGTAGAGTAGACAACTACCTTTATTCAAAAGGGTGCATTATTCAAAAACTTCAAAAAAATTAAATATTTGCTATCAATATGCACCAGGAAATTAACAAATAACAAAGGCTGTATTTTTCTTTGTTTACATAAATATGAACTCCTCCCTCCCTTCCTTAATCCCTTCTTTCCTTTCCTCTCTCTCTCTCTCTCTTTCTTCTCCCTTCCCTCTCCCTTCTCCTTCCCTCTCTCTGTAGTGCTGGGATTGACCCATGGCCTTGTACATGGCTCCACCATTGAATTACACCCTCCCATTCATTAAATATTAATGTTCAACCCACCAGAAATTGCTCTGCAGGATTGTCAGTTAATGTACAGTTAGGCAACTTTTTTCTTTTTCTTTTGCTAGTCATGGGGCCTGAACTCTGGGCCTGGGCGCTGTCCCTCAGCTCTTCAGCTCAAGGATAGAGCACTACCACTTGAGTCTCAGCACCACTCCCAGCTTTTTCTGCTTATGTGGCACAGAGGAATAGAACTCAGGGCCTCATGTATGCAAGGCAAGCACTCTACCTTCCCAGCCCCGAGTTAGGTAACTTTTAAAGTGGTAAAGATGCTCTTTTTCCTCCAAAACATACCTACCTGGTCCTTCTTAAGTACCATTTCTTCATATGGCTCTTCTCTGGCTTCTTTCCGGTTTATAGTCTCTAGTTGTTTCTCTAGCCAGCACACTTGATCAAGCAGTTTTGCTTTAGTTTCTTCAGAGACTGCAAGCTAAAGATATGTTCTTCTAAGGGTGTGATGCCTTAAAAGCTCTTTTTAAAAGATCAACTTACAGATGTAAAGCAACCTCCTATTGATACCAATGAAGTATGGAAATCACTTCTAGAACTTTCCTCATACATGATGAGAAAGAAGAAAATAATGCTGATTTCATTTGCTTCTAACAAGTAAGGTCTTTTGGGAAGAGAACTGAAATCACACCTCCACAACTTGTAAAGAATATAATTTGGAGAAGCGGCAAGTTGGACAGAAAAATCAAGATTTCAATGCATATGTGAAATGAATTTGGGGCTGCGGGGCAGCAGATGGGATAGGAGGGAATTATGGGATGTATGACTGGACAGGAAGCACTGGACACATGGCTGCACCCATTAAACTGTAACCCCCTTCTACAGTCTTCCAAAGTTCAGAAAAAAAATGAAACTATCTCAGTATCATTGCATTTCTAGGTTGTGCTGTATTTGTTCAGCTGAATCTGAAACCCGGATTTTTATTTGCATGTGTCTTGAGCAAAGGGGAAAGAAGAGAAAGGAGAAAAAAGGAGGAGAGAGACAGACAGACAGAGAGATCAGAGCTTTCTAATCTTGGGCTGGGCTTGAAGCTGTCCTGTAGCTTTTGCCACTCAAGGCTAGAGCACTACTATTTGAACCATAGCTCCACTTCCAGCTTAAATGGAGAGAAGACATTGGTTTGCCAGGTGCAAATACTTCAAAACTAGCTACGCTGGAGGCTAAGATTTGAGGTTTGAGGTTCAAGTCCATCAGACTCTTAAACTGTGGCTCAAGTAGTAGAGCACCAACCTTAAGCAACATAGTACAGGGACAGCTCCCAGGACCTGAGTTCAAACCCAGGATTGGGGTTAATTGAAGAGTCACACAGACCTTCCTGTCCAGACTGGCTTTGAACCATAATCCTCAGGTCTCAGCACACTGAGTAGTTAGAATTAGAGATGTGAGTCACCAGCACTCGGCTGGCCTTTGTTTCTCATAAAAAATATAAATTTCGGGGTCTGGGAAGGTGGCTCAGTGGTAGAGCGCTTGCCTTGCATGCATGAGGCCCTGGGTTCCATTCCTCAGTACCACATCAGCAGAAAAAGCCAGAAGTGGTGCTGTGGCTCAAGTGGTAGAGCGCTAGCCTTGAGCTGAATTGCTGAGGGACAGCGCCCAGGCCCAGAGTTCAGGCCCCAAAATTTTAAATTTAAAAAAATTGCAACATGGGTGTTCCACCTTCATAATCAACCCAAAGGCTCCTTCCTTCCTCATTTCCTTCCTTCCTTCCTTCCTTCCTTCCTTCCCTCCTTCTACTTCTCCTTCTTCCTTCCTTCCTTCCTTCCTTCTTTCTTTCTTTCTTTCTTTCTTTCTTTCTTTCTTTCTTTCTTTCTTTCTTTCTTTCTTTCTTTCTTTCTTTCTTCCTTTCTTCCTTTCTTCCTTTCTTTCTATCTTCTTTTGAGTGTGTGATCTTGGAGTCTTGAACTTGGGATCTGGGCACTTTCCCCGAGATCTTTCGTTCAAAGCTAGGGTTCTAATCCTTGAGCTCTACCACAGATCCACTTCCACATTTTTGTGGTTAATTGGAGATAAGAGTTTCAGGGATATTTGCTGCCCGGGCTGGCTTTGCACTATGATCATCAGATCTTATCCTCCACAGTAGCTAGAATTACAGGCATAAGCCACTGGAGCCTAGTTTTCTTTTTTGTATTTTTATTTTTTAGTATAAATTATGCACAGGAGTTCTACCATGACATTTCACACAGGCATGTCATGCAGACAGATTAACCTCTTATTCTTTCTCTGTCCCCCCTCTGTTCTGCTGTTAAATAGCTATCAATGAGTTTCCTTATACCATCTTCATACAGGCACAGCAGTTTTGATAGTATTCATCCTCCATCACTCTCTTAATTTTTTCTTCACTTATCCCCCCCAAACAGTCCTAGAATTACAATTATATAGTCATATGTATGTACCTATGTATATCTTTTAGGTCTATATTTTACAAATGAAGAAAATATGAGATATTTGGTCTTTTGATCTTGACTTAAACTTGTTCAATATGTTGATCCCCAGTTCCATCCAGTTTTTTTTTGCAACTAGAAATTTCATTTTTCTTTAAAGTTTATGAATATTCTGTGACGTACATGTCAGGTTTTTTTTATCCATGACTTTGGCCATTGTGAACAGAGCTGCAATAAATATGGGTACGCACTCTCTTGTATACTGATTTGCACTCTTTCAGAGGGATATAGTAGGGTCATAAGGTAGGTCTGTTTTTAGCCTCTGAGGAACCTCCATGCTGATTTCCATAGTGCTTACATGAGTTTATCTTTCCACCAACAATGTAGGAGAGACTTCTATCTTCTATGTCCTCACTAGGATTTATTGTTAGTTGTTTTCTGACTGGGTGAGTGGAATCTTGGTGTAGTTTTGATTTGCATTTCCTTATGATATGTATGTTTACCATTCCTTCATGCATCTGTTAGCCATTTGCATTTCTTCTTCTGAGAAGTATCTGATCATTGCCTTTCTATTAATTGAGTTATATGTTATTTTGCTGTGTAATTTTTTAATTCTTTGTATACTCTAGATATTAATCAGTCTTTTATCTGTTGAATAGCTTGTGAGGATTTTCTCCCATTCTGTATGTTGCTTCTGGGTTCTAGTTATTTCTTTCACTATGCACAACCTTTTTATTTGAACGTTATCCCACTTTTTTTCTCTAATTTTTGGGGCAAGTGCAGTCCTATTCAGAAAATAGTTACTTATACCTCTGTTTTCTAGAGTTGTCCTTATTTTTTCCTGTAGGAGTCCCCAAGACTCAATCTTTTCACTAAGATCTGAAATATTTAGAGTTGAATTTTGTACAGAGTGAGAGACGGGAGTTTAATGTTTTGTATTTTATTTCTGAGAAAAGATCTTGCCACCTGTTACCCAGCCTGGCCTCAGATTCATGATCTGCCTCTCTCTGCTTCTCAAGGAACTGGGATGATAGTCATGAACCATGATGCCCAGTGTATAATATAGATGTTCATATTCAATTTCATTTATCTACTCACATTATCTGTGCTCCTGCTCTTTGCTTTCCTCCACAACCTACACACATACACACAAACAAGTCATAATGCAAGATAGATTTTTTTTCCAGTGCTACTCAAAGGCTACTGAAATATAAACGAAGCCTCCCCAAGGCTTGTAGAGATCGTGTCACAAAGGAAGGAGGGACTTACAAACAAAAGGCTTGCTTGTGCTAGAGACTTTGCAAGATGATTTGGACGAGTATTATATAGACAGAAGCAAACACGTTCAAATTTACCTTACCTACCCGTGGAAGGGGCAAGAGTTCCTATTTAGTTCACCAAACTTACTTGGTCACATTTCAATTTTAAAAACAAATGCCTCATTCTACTTCTATCCTACACAAGACAGATTTTGACATTTATTCATCTTTTCCCTTGAACAGATTCTTTCCAGCCACCTCCGAGGGACTATAATTGAGAGTAGAGCCACTCCCTGGATAGAGCTGCTGGAGAGATCCTACAAGCTGAAAGACATAAGAAATGGGAACTTGTTGCCTGGCCATTTCCGGGAGCTGTGGGCTTGGTTTCTCTCGAGGTTGTGAGGAAGAATCAATGCCACGTCTATTTTCGAACTTCTGGTGGTTTGCCAACAATCTCTGGCACTTGCTTGTACTTCTGGACTCTGCCTTCATCTTTGCATGACTGTCTTCCTTTCCCTGACTGGTGTTTGAACTCAGGGCCTTGAACTTACTTGGTTGGCATTCTACCAATTGGAACATGACTCTGGCTCTGATTTTTATTGTTGGTGGTGGTGGTGGTCGTGGGGCCTGAACTCTGGGCCTGGACGCTGTCCCTCAACTCTTCAGCTCAAGGCTAGTGCACTACCACTTGAGCCACAGTGCCACTTCCAACTTTGTCTGCTTATATGGTGCTGAGGAATCGAACCCAGGGCCTCATGCGTGCAAGGCAAACACTCTACCACTGAGCCACTTTCCCAGCCTGGCTCTGTTTTTGTTAGTTACAGAGATGAAGTCTAACAATCTTTTCTCCTTAAGCTGGCTTTGAACAATGATTCTCCAGATCTCAGCCTCCTGAGTACTAAGATTACAGGCATGAACTAGTGCCCAGTCAAATTTCCACCTTTTGTAAAGACACCAATCTCCTTTAATTAGGAGACCACTTACTACTGTATGGCCACATACTAACTAATTATATCTGCAATACCCTTACTTAAAGTCTTGTTCTCTGCTCCTGGGATAGAATGGCAACAAATGCATTTTATGAGGCTGCAATTCAATCCACAATACCCTTCAATTCTTTTGAAAAAAAAAAGCCTTGAATAATAAAAGAATATTTATCCCTGTGTAGAAGCAGACATATTTAACCTCAGGTCCACAAGTAATTGAAATATAAAGTTATATATCTGTGCATAGATTCCTAAATTTTCTATGATTTTTTTAAAAAAGTTATGGATAGATAAGAATATTAGAGAGAAGTGAAAAGACATAGTAAAAGTTCAGGCAGTCAATCACTGACTTGGAGCTAAATAAAGGTCAATGCTTGTATGTAAAAGGTTCTGAGAAACTGAAGTCAATGTAATGATGGACATAAAGTAATTCTAGAAAAACAAAGCTACTATTTCCAGGAACAATAAAAATAGTTCATAATACACAAACAAGTTTGCCAGAAGTATCCATTTTATCTTAACTCAGAGCCCCCAACCCTAGGCAAACGCTCATTCTTGAGGATACTCCATACACACACATACACACACACACACACACACACACACACACAGATTTTCACCCATCCGGGGGACTACGATGTCCTCAGAACACTGGAGAAGCTGCCCTGGTTCTTATTTTGACCATCATCCAGCCACCCCTTGCCCCAAGTACAGAACCCAAGCCGTCTCTGAAGTTTCCGCGCAGGGACTGGGGATTCACTTCTAGGATACGGCCACCTGCTGGGCTTGGCACAT